AGACAAATCATGTGCAAATTCATAAGTCTACAGCATTGCTCTGTATTAAAACTGCATTGACAGTCTCAAAAACACGGGTTGAAATCGCTGGTGTTTCTGACGTCACAAACGACCTTGGAACCAATCAGATCAACGTGTGATCGTCAACCAGTGGATCTCTGAGCTGAGTGAGTGAGTGAGTGGAGGCGGGGCTCATTTGCATATTCATAGAACCATGTATACTAAATGAGGCAAGGGTGTCGAGTTACATTTAAGATATTTTAAGGCATGAAGATTTTTTTTATGAAAAAAAAATGTTGGTGATCAAAGATGAGTTTAAATTGATACAATTAATGACTACAAGGGAACTTTAATACTCACCTGCTATTAGGTATTGGCCAGCTTTGTTCCATTTAGGGGCCAGTTTAGCAGTCACTGAATAAGACAAACAGGTCTGCAGAATGGCAGGAAACACCCTTTGAGGAAGGTTGAGCTACAGGAAAAAAGAGAGACTATTAGAAGCACAAAGGCAAAAAAATGGACCAAATCTGATGTATTTTTACTGTTCTATATGTAACTGTTATACTGTAACCACATGCAATCTGGTCTTTTTCATTCTAGCATATGCGAGATGTTGTTCTTTTGAACTTTCTATTCATTAAATAGATAAATAGTTTCCACAAAAATATGAAGCAACACAACTGTTTTCAACATTGATAATAATCAGAAATGTTTCTTGAGCAGCGAATCATCATTAGAGTGATTTCTGAAGGATCATGTGACACTGAAGACTGGAGTAAGCTTTGATCACAGGAATACAGTTTACTATATATTCACATGGAAAACAGTATTTTAAATTGTAATATTTCACATTATTACCGTTGCACTATTTTATATCAAATAAATGCATCCTTGGTGAGCAGTTTTTCTTTGAAAAACATTTAAAATATAAATGGTAGTATATTCTGATGCAGTGGAGACCCTGTTAGGGACGGACAAATAGTGTCAGCCTGGGATAAAGGTCAGACTGAACACATGAAACATGAACTTTACAGTTTTGTCTGAACAAACAAGACACAGACAGACATATTCTCAGAAAGATCTCTTTAAACTAACCTGTAGACCATGTTTCAGTGCAAAGGCCTGGATGATGCCTCTCTTGTGAAATGTAATCTAAGACAAAGTGCAAGGAACAATCAGAATGGACAGTTAACAAAAATACCATTTTCATATATGATATGCATCAGGACCAAAGCTAGAAATCATGGACTTAAAAGAAGCACAAAAACTTGGATTGGATTGGATTGCTTGGATTGCTACAAAAGTTGGATTGCTACAAAGCATATCATCTTTCCCCTTGTGGCTACACAAGTACACATATGCCATGCAAGTTACATAAGCACAACATAGTCAATTATTCACCAGTGTACCCATTGAAGTCTGACAACAACACATTCACAAGTTTTGCAAAATGTGCATCAGATTCAAATCAAAGCACTACTGAAGGGGTATCACGGCGTTTAACACAGTGTGAAGTGCTGATTTAATTGGGCTCAGTTCAGGACAGGAAAGAAGATGACAGAGTGTGTGGAATGTGCCTCAAATATTTGGCTTCGCACGAGACATGCCTTAGCACGAGCTGAGCTGACACGCACACACACACACACACACACACACACACAGATGAGAAGTCACGCACATGCAACACCACAAACTTCACTGACAGGTGCAAATGCACGCAAGGTGATGCACGTATCACGAACACTGAGGAAAAAAGAAGAGCAATAACACGTACTGACAGGAAAAGCAATATAAATCATAAATGTTTTGCCTGACATGGAATTATTCATACAATATGTTATGGCATTTATTCAAATCATCATTAAATATAATTACGTTACATTTTATTGAAAACTAAGTTGCATTTTGTGAGCAAGAGCATTGGTTAATTCATCTATGCAAGTAGGAATATCATTGAGAGACACGTCGAATTATGGTTATGCTAGGTGCACTAAACATTAAATATTACTTCAGCCTTATTTCTGCATGCATGTGGAATGTCCGATATAGATTAAATAAAGCAATATATATATATATATATATATATATATATATATGAAGAGTTCAGATGCAAAAGCCTTTAAGTGCCATTTGAAATTTTCTTCTAGAATGATCATTTTTATCAAGCTTGTATATTTAAGTTCAGTAATTTCACTTAAATGACAATTCATAGGTAATCTTCATTGCCATTTAAGTGAAATTACTGAACTTAAATATACGAGCTTGATAAAAATGATCATTCTAGAAGAAAATTTCAATATTTATATATATATATACTCACTGTATATATAAGCAACCCAAATACACTAATCAGATTTTATTAGGGCAATTACTTTCCTTTTGATCATAATAGGGTTATACTGCAAATGATCAGATTTCTGTTTATCATCAGCAATTACAGAACATGCAACTTGTAACAACTTTCAATTTAAAAACATTTGTAACAAATGTCACATAAATCCAATATAATAAATATCACATCACTTTGAAAAACTCCAGATTTTATTTGCGTAAAAATTAGTAATTCATTGTTTTCACACACACCATGATGGCAAGACAAGACTTTTCTCCATTGCCCGCATGTCTACTGATGTATTAAGACTGTGATATAAAAAAATAAAAGAAAGAATATACACCTTATTAATTATGTATATGTACAGGCGAGCAGGTCAACCTGGAGTATAAATACAATACATTTAAATAAAACTAAATAAATAGCTAAATCACTGCTTAAAAGTTAACACTTTGGATCTATACTCTCACAAACAAATGCTTGAAAACGAAGTTGTATTTGATTGGCAAAATTATCAAGATACTATACAAATATGCAATGCATGTATGTTATTATCTCACTCTCCTGTATGATGTACTATATTTCCTCTACTACAAAATGCAATTGAAACAGAAATGTAATTTAAATGAATAGTTAAATCTATCCATTGCTTATCCTCTCTAAAGACTAAGGTCACTGGAGTCTATTCAGCATTTCGGGCTGAAGGCAGGTTTTTTTTTTTTTTTTTTTTTAGTTTAAAGCTGATTGTAAATTATAATTGATATCACACACACACACACACACACACACACACACACACACACACACACACACACACACACACACACACTATATCATACTTACAGTCATTATAGCAGTGATGCCCCCACAATGGCCTAACACAGGTGAGGCAACAACATCTGAATGCAAGAGAACAAGCTCCCTGAAAGACAAGGGAAAAAGAAAACTTTTTTCAGTTTAGTTGAAGCGTAATATCTGTGATTGAGGCAGTTCTGGTGAATTTGACACCTCCAAGGTCAAAATAATAAAATATAAAGCACTTCCATCATCCTAAACAAACGAGGGGTCTGTTTGCCTGGTTTTTAAAAGACAGAATGTCTTTAAAATCCAATACAGTTTGAAACTCTAGTCTAGTGTGTTGATTTACATAAAGATGGCATGAAATGTAAGCTGTGATGATCTTTTCTTTTCTATTGTGTATATCCAAGTAAAACTGTTTCATGAACAAGAACAAATGTAGGGCGCAACTTTATTTTGTCTGTGGGGTTATGGTTTTCTGTAGAGAAGTCCCTCCCCTTCCGGTCGATCACCATGGGTCCTTATTTCGGAAAAATATTGTATGGTAGTCAATGGCGAGAGACAACAAATATTTTGATCTAAATGTTAAATGATAAAACTAAATGTTATTCTTCTGTTTTATGACAAACTGCGAAGTTTTTGACTTTCGGAATTATCTTTTAAATTGACAAACATCATGTGTGTAATTCAGGGGCACAGTTCAGACGGAATAAAAAGATAAGTTGTCTCTCGCCATTGACTACCATACATATTTTTTTCCAAAATAAGGTCTATTTTTTTCCAAAATAAGGTCCCATGAGCGGAAGCGGAGGGGCGGGACTTAGCCTCTCTATTAAAACAAAATTGTGCATGGATAAATAATTTATAATTATTGCTTTATGTGCATTAAATCACAAGTTAAAGATAATCTATTAATATGTTATACATGTATGTAGAAAAAAAAACATTAGACGTTTGTCTTAAAATAAAATGGCCTTAAAATCATTCAACTTTAACTCATATTTTAAAACATAATATTTGTCTTTTCACCTGCAGGTTTTCAACTGTTTGTTTCTCAACTCCCCTTCGTCGTAACTTTTCGGGAAGAACAGATTTACACAACATAAATTCCTCAGGTCCGGGAGACTGAGGAAAAACAAAGACTGTGTCCCACTTCTTTCACTCATTCTGAAAGGAAAATCGTGAGGGTTAATTGGACAAACTAACACAGTCACTGATCTGTGACCAAAATTAACTAATGAGACTATATCCAAAGATTAAATGAAAATTAGATTACCTCCAATAAAAAGTTTACTTATAATTTAAGAAAGAAAGAAAGAAAGAAAGAAAGAAAGAAAGAAAGAAAGAAAGAAAGAAAGAAAGAAAGAAAGAAAGAAAGAAAGAAAGAAAGAAAGAAAGAAAGAAAGAACTTTTTACCTCAGTGAGGTTATACAAATATGTTGAGGTAAAACGGCACTTTTTGGCGGCAAGAGCGAGGAGACACTATAGGCTCGCTTGCCAGTGTTTTAAGTGAACAACACACACTCTTATCTGACACAAAAACCTAAACGACATCAACAACAGGCGCCTGAAACAGCGTTAAGGGCAACCCACTTAAATTATCGTGACTACCGGACATCACTAGATTAACGTGATGGCGATAAACTGCAACGTTTCCGTATTGCGTGAGAACCGTGCTCTCGTGAACTTTCGTGAACTTCAGCCGAGTTGATTCGTGTGCTTCACCGAAACCTATGACCCTATGAGTTGATTGACAGCCCATGGTCCAATCAAAACAGAGACACCGGGAAACCCAGGAAAGATACCATCCAATCAGATTTCCTCTTAAGCGGAATGGGCGGAATGGGCGTTGCCTGGCGAGTTGGGAAATACAATTGTTAATGTTGGTGCTGTGGTTGATCCAGTTGTGAAGTAGGTGAAGTGAACGGTTCGGAGGGATACTTAGGAAAGTGTCTGAACAAACAACACACATTTAAATAAACCAATGGAAAACAACGGAACGGACGAAAAGGAAGTTAAATATTATCGCTTGTCAGAGGTGGAGGAACGGAACTCTTTTAAAAGTACATGGATTATCATTCATAATAAAGTGTACGACGTCACAAAGTTTCTCGAGGAGGTGAGTTTTTAAAACAGAGCCTCAAATGTTCTGTTTGGTACCAAACACATAGCTTACATTTGCATCATTGTATTGGAATTGTGTAATGCTTGCATTACGTGTATTGCATTGTATAAACATAGCCTAGATCAAATATATGTGCATAAATCAAATATATGTGCATTATAATGCATGCAATAAATTAATGCATGGAAAAAGTCAGTACAAATGTTTACACTGCTTAAAGTGGGTACTGAATGGAGTGACCTTTTCCAAGTTATCTCAAGAGATTTAATTACAATAGTTTGCCAAACAATGTGTTTGGTGTGAAATTGGCATTCGTGTTGTAACTAATATACCTCGCTAAACAATCAAATGCACTGTAATTTTTTTTTTTATTATTATTAAATGTGCTTTTGGTGGTCAGATTTGAATGAAGAAAAGCTGTAGTTGCACCACACACTAACTTACCTTGCTGTAATTGATCAGATAACCACTCTAACATTTTACAACTTTCTCTATAATCTTTTTCTACTATTATCTAGATCTAGAGAACCACCTGTTCTAAACATTTTACTCAAGCTTGGTCTAAAAGTGCACATAAGAATAGAGGTTGCCCGATAATGGACTTTACTGATAGTGACACTAGGTTGGCCCACACTGGCCAATAAGGATTAATGAAAAAAAATGTTTATAAAATTGATACTGAATGAAAACAAACATAACACATAAACTAGTGCAGAACTTTATTACTAAAATGTAAACAAACAAACAAAAAAAATCAGTACTAAACCATGAAAACTTGTTAAAAAATATAAAAAAATATATACCTTGATCATTCATGTCAGTTCATAGTGCATTAACTAATGTTAAGAGAAACAACTTTAAAATGTAAAAAAATGTATTAATAAATATTGAAATTAACAATGAACTACACTTTTTATTAGGCTAACCTTAGGTAATGTTACAAATGAAATCTTAAAAGGTTCCCATTTCATAAATCCAAACAGTCATGCTTACAGATGGCCATCTTTAAATATCTACACAAAGGCTGTATCATTGAAATTAGATGCATGTTTGTTGTATATAATGTATCATCTACACTCTAGTTGCTTTTATTCTAGAACACTTGATGATTATCTAATCAAAACATCAAAATATGAATTACAATGACGAAAAATAGAACTGAAACCGAATGCATTTCTGATTTGTCTTATTTGGAAGAAGAAACCGCTGAACAACACCAACGAAGAAGCGTCTACCGGAAGTATTGGCATAACCACGCGAGTCGAACATGAGTAGCTTACGTCGGCGGTCCAAAGTGTGGCTTCACTTTTCTAAAAATAACGAAATCTCGGCAAAATGCAAAATTTGTGACAGAAGGAGTATTTCCTTCAGAAAGACCGTTGGTTAGGAAGGTTAGCTAAACTTTTTTGACCCTGCCTCTTAAAAGAATCGGAATCGAGAATCTTTAGGAACCGGATTGGAAACAAGGAATCGGAATCAGAATCGTTCAAATTCAAACGATACCCAACCCTAGCTGTCATAAATTCAAAACAATCTCTGGTACTTATATTTCCTATTATCTCTGTAAAGCAGCTTTGGAACAATCTACATTGTTAAAAGCGCTGTATAAATGTAGATGAGTTGACTTATAGGGCTTTGCTCTGATGTCCACAGCACCCCGGAGGAGAAGAGGTGCTGCGAGAGCAAGCAGGTGGAGACGCCACCGAGAGTTTCGAAGATGTCGGCCACTCGTCAGATGCACGCGAGATGGCCAGTTCGATGCTCATAGGAGAACTGCATCCAGTAAGTCCAGAAATCAGGACTGTTGTGGAGCATTAGTGTGAAGAAGACCTTGTGTGCTTTCGGACATTTCTGCTTTTGTGAATAAACTGTATTTCCAGAAATATTGAAAAAAGTATTTCAATATTTAAATATTTTAATAATTTCTTATTAAAAGTAAATCAAGAAAAACTGAAAGGCTAAACAATTGACCTATTGCTAAGCCACGCCCTCAAACGTGGCGAGCCAATCACAGTGCGCAGCTAACCCAATACACTCGGACATTCTCTGCTTCCACGTCCATTGAAATGCCAAAAAAGTCAGATTCGTGGTTGTATCAAACTCGCAATTCTGAGATAAAAAATTCTGACTTGCGCGACAAACTCGCAATTTTGAGATAAAAAGTAAGACTTATGAGGTAAAAAGTAAGACAAGACATAAACTTACAATTTCGAGATAAAAAAGTCAGACTTGTGTAAAAAACTCACAATTTTGAGATAAAAAAAGTCAGACTTGTGTGACAAACTCGCAATTTTGAGATAAAAAGTCAGAATTTTAAATTGTAAAAAAAAAAATCTCAGAATTGTGAGTTTATATATTCTTGACTTGTAATTTGGACTTTATACTTCGCAGTTTAAAGATTATATCTCACAATTCTGAGAAAAAATTCAGAACTGCAATACACAAACTTTCAATTTTGAGAAAAAAATTCAAATTATCTTAAAAAAATATTATTCTGTGTCGGAAACAAGCTTCGGTTCAGCTCTCGAGGGCTTATTTTAAATTGTACCCTGCATGTTTTTTCAAAGTCAGTTTTGCATCTGTTGCTTTGCAACCATCAGTCAGCACTGACAGTCTGGCACACAAAAAGACATGAATAATCATTAATGACTGATTTATAGTTTCAGTGAAGGGATTACATCACACCAATAGATGCCAATGGTAACCTATGCAATACAAAATATGTATATATATCCAAAAATACACAAACTTCCCAATCCCCCTGAGATATCTGGAAATGATCAAGTCTGTTGATTCATAGCTGTATCTAACAAAATCTGAGATGTTCATAGACCTCCGGGGGCTTGAGATACTATCAATAACCTGGAATCCAGTTGAATTCCTCTTGAAGGACCTGTAATGCTGCCGGATTCAGCACACAGATGCTATCAGGGAGTTGTGCACTTTATAGAAATGAGTTACTTTAGTTGGATACGAGATAGCAAACTGCAGAACAGTAATTCAATTTTAAAGAAGCAGAATTAAAAAAAGAAATGCATTGAACTGTGGTGAGGTATTTGGATTAATAATAAGACCTATTTAATGGTAATTAATGCTTTGTCAATAAAATGTGAAAAAAAAAAAACTAATATTTTTGAATCATGCCTGTCTCCTCTTGTTTCCTCTCAGGATGACAGGGACAAGATTCCCAAACCACCAGTACGTAAAGCATGTTTCAAATCAAACACAGCACTGCCTTTCACTGTTTTTGTCTCACATTTGGTAGAACCACCTAAAAATGCATTTGGTTTTCTGTTGAACAGGAATCGCTTGTAACAACCGTACAAGAAACAACAAGGTGAGTTTACATGAATGCACAAACATGCCTAAGAATATCTCAGGGTTTGAATTATATATTTCTCGCTCTTTTTTTCTTATATGAGGGATCATGTTCTTTTGAGTCCATTGTTCATTATTTTCACTTTCCATTGTAGTTCAGAAACAGCAAGTATCTGGTTAATAAGCTAATTAGCAAGTGCTTTGAAATCTTCCGTTTCATCTCTTGTTCCAGCTGGTGGTCAAACTGGTTAATTCCCGCTGTTGCCGCGGTGATTGTCACGTTCATGTACCGTATTTACACCACAGAGGAGGCATGATGGGATGCTTTCTCAGAGCGGCGCCCGGCTGAAACTACAGTACCCATAATCCATTTCAGGTTTAACCATTACCATAGAGATCCTACAAATGAAGGCAACTTTTGTGTTAGTTTTAATGTTTGTTGTCAAGTTTATCCCTTGAGATTTAATTCCTGATATGCAGATGTTTTTTATGATAAATTAAAATACTTAGCATTATAAATATGGACGCTAAAGATGAAGTTTTTGTTGTCTAATTGTTTTTCTGTTGTGTAAAACTGTGTATACCATTATTCAATTGAAATATACTGAATATTATCACATACATTAACACAACAGTCCTCAAAGAAATAATTTAATTTCACTTGAAATGCATAATTTTCATGTGCAAGTTGATCTTTCTTGGACCAGGGAGAGATGATACAAGTTGTTTAGGTCTAAAAATAAAATTGTATGTATAAAATGGAAGAGGATATTGTTTATTAAAATCGTTAACCTGCCAACATGAATTATTATTAGCAGCTGATAATCATAATAAGCTCCAAAATCAAAAGTTAAAAAAAAGATAGTAGATTTTGCATAAATAAAATGAAGATTATTTTTAGGACCATTAAGAATTTTTTGAATTGTGACTTTATTTTTATGACAATAAAGTATGTTCTTCTCATCTGCAATTTTCATTTTGCATTACAATAATGTTCAATTGTCTTGAAAATAATGTTGCAATGCGAAAACGGTCTTTGTTTTATGCAAAACATAATCTAATACCTCTCTTTTGATTTTATGGAGAAATATGAAGCTAGACTGTTCAGAATGTGATTGTACACAACCTAACCAACATCTATCATTATGTGCTTAAATAAGGCAAGTTCTTTTAGTCGGTCAGCTAGAAGTCACCACATCTTTAGTGAAGAGCAACACTGTTATAGTTGTGTACACGTCGATGTGCCGTTTAAATGCATGTCAGTGTACCGCCTTGAACGCTGCTTATACATTCCCTTTTTATTTTAAAACAAACTGAATGTAAAATACTTGTATATGATACGAGATTCAAGCAACTTTCCCATAGAAATGTTGAGATGTTTGCAGTGTCTTCATTGCTACTGCTACACTAATGCTAATGTGAGAGAATCACACGCGCACGCACACACACACACTGTAACCTGTGACTCAATGCACCAGTCAAATCATTCAGCTTTACTGTGTCCCAATAAACAAAGGAACTAGTTGTGTGACTTGCTGTTCTTAAGTTGTTCTTATACATTCCCAAAAGGGTTTTTTTTTCACAGTGATGCAACAGAAAAACCATTCAGTCTACAGTTCTTTTATTTTTATTTTTTTTTTACATTTTAATGAACTAAATAACCTTTTGTTCTTCCATGGATGTTAGTGTTTTTAATGGAACCATAGATGCCAATAAACAACCTGAATTATTAAGAGTGTATATTGTGGTGCCAAATAATATTTGAACGCTTACAGTAAGTGAATTTCATTATTGTTTGATGCCATATCAAACCAAGTAAAATTTATGAGTGACCCTCAAACCGTATTCACTTTATGGCCCTTAATCCTGTAATTGTGGACAAATGTGGGCACAGAGGACTCGGGTGTGATCCTAATTTTTATTTATTATAAATGTTATATCACTGTCTTCGATAAAGTTTTGTCTATCCATTTATGGTGTTTGTTTTTTTTATTTTGGGGGTATTTTTGAATTTATTTATTTCAAAAAGTACCATATTTTCGATGTAAATTATGCTTATGTTTTATTTTTTTAAATGTTTTTTTAACTACATTAAAATATCATTCGAATAAGTTCTTAGAGCTAAAACCTAAAGATGAAGTGACTTTGCTGTCACCTGGTGTCTTATTTTGGCTTATGCTCTAAATTACAGTTTTTCCCATTCATTTCTATGGGTGCCCATTTTTGACCCAAATACAAGATTAAGGAGGTTTTTTTCACCCACTTAACATTGTAGAACTGAGTCAAAAAAAAATGTGTGTTCAGGGGGCAAACTTAGGAAAAGTAGCCAAGTCTTGTACTGCTCAGATCAAGGGAAGTATTTTTAAAAAATAAATCAAAACTATTTTGCCCACATTTGTCCAGAATACGGTTTTAGGGTTAAGTCATTAATGTTTCGACATTTTAGTGTCAGGAAATGTTACAACACTGACATCTGCTGGAGATTTGAGCTGCTACATCACTGGAAAACCACTTGTTTCAGTGTTATTGTCTGTAACCTTTAGTAATAGTCATGAAAAATAGCTTTAAATGGAGAGCCATAATGTTCACAGTTGAGTAACAGTTGAATATAAATTGCTATTAACACAAGTTCTTATTATAACCATGAGCTGCCATCTCATTGAGCTCTTTATCATCAGCATCTACAATTCTCTGGTTTAACATGTCAGTTTAGCGTGGCAGGTCATCTCTCATATCACTGTGACATATGTGTAAATTAAAAGTTTCACTTGAACGTTTCATCTTGTAATCGCATCTAAACGCCTTTGGACTACGTTGCACCATATATTTGCTCATTATGTAAACATGTCAATAAAAAAAGGCATTTTAGATCAAGTGTACCGTCCACTCGTGTTGTAGCTCGTCATTAATGGTGTTGTAACATTGCAGTGTGTGTGTTTAGTCTGATAACAGCATGTTTTGAAGCTCTCACTGACCTGCGGTCATTTTGAGCCAGAAAGCTGTACTGACACACACACACACACACACACACTGGATGGACACACTGTAGTGTGTTTATGCTTCTGCTGGTTACATCTGAAGCCTGTTGCCCAGTTCTCGTAACTGGATTTAAACATTTAACACTATAAATGTTTCCATCTAAACCACTCTCACTGGATTTACTGTAGGTGTGTATGCTGCAGGGAACACACACACACACAGATATTTAGACCAAAGACATCATTGTAACTGATGTTGTTCAATAAACAAAAAGTTCAAACCAATGCAGTTCCACAAGACGTCAAATGAGGGATCAGACCTAAATAACCTTATAATATTCATATCGGATGAGTTCATTGTGTATGAGTGTATAATATTGCGTCATTTGGGATACAACTACTGTCTGGAACAGGGCAGAACATGTAACATTTCATCATCTTTGTTGATCTTGGAACAACATTACAACCGACAAATCAGATTTAAGGGAGACGTTTACAGTTTATATCAAGTTTACGCTAGCCTATATAAAATGCTGGGTTGTTTTAACCTATTTTGGGTAAAAAATGGACAAACCCAAATGTTGGGTTAAAAATGTAATTTAAAATTGTTTTTTAAAACTGTATTTTTTTTTTAAATAAAATTTTAATCCAACATTTGGGTATGTCCATATTTGACCCAAATTAGGGTTGAAACAACCCAGCATTTTTTAGTGTTATTTTTTTTTTTATGATCAATTGGTTAGAAGTACATGTTTTTTTTTTACTTTGCTTTAACTCATCAAAATAAGCTAAGCAATTTTCAACATTTTTAAAAGCTATATACAGTTTTTCTCAAGCTAGTTTAATGAAATTAAAGTTGAAATCACTTAAACATCCATATTGATTGTACTTACAAATTTAAGGCAGCAACGTGTCTAACTTGTCAAAACAGGAAGTGTGTGGAACAGCAAGAGAACATGTGTGTGACACACGTTAGAAAACCCAGTGATGTTAAACTGAACATCAAAACTTTTGGAACGCAGCCCGACCAATCAAATATCAAGACCAGAACTGTTTTATAAAGCATTTAATAAAAAAATAAAAAATAAAGTCTCATTACAGTATGTAGCCTACTTTTTTATTGATTAACAAAAGATCTGTAATGCTGTAATGTTGAAAATGTTTTAAATTCAAGTTATCAATTTAAATCCATTAATAAATTTCATTATACATAAGTTTGTAACTAATAAATCAGCATTTTGTAAAACAATATTTTCAAGATTTGTTATCACAACATATTTTCATTTGTCAAATCAACTTTATAATAATTTATTTAGTTGAGATAACTTATTATTTTGAGTTTCTGATGATTCAATTAATCTCCTTCATTGTATTAACTCACTTTTTCCAGTTCAATCAACTTAAAATTTTAAGGCAACCAGGTTACTTACTTATTTTTTAAGTTAAACCAACAATATTTTTTACAGTATAGTAATCACAACAACATTTTTTCTTTTGTCAAATCAACTTAAATTAATTTAGTTCAGATAACATATAATTTTGAGTTTCTAATGATTAAATCATTCTCCTTCATCTTATTAACTCACTTTTTCCAGTTCAATGAACTTAAAATTTTAAGGCAACCAGGTTACTTACTTTTTTAAGTTAAACCAACAATATTTTTTACAGTGTAGTAATCACAACATTTTTTCTTTTGTCAAATCAACTGAAATTTATTTAGTTCAGATAACATATAATTTTGAGTTTCTGATGATTAAATCTTTCTCCTTCATCGTATTAACTCACTTTTTCCAGTTCAATGAACTTAAAATTTTAAGGCAACCAGGTTACTTACTTTTTTAAGTTAAACCAACATTTTTTTTTACAGTGGGGAATCCAAAAAACAGACAGAACTAATGGTGCGTTCTATTATACCCAACGAACCGTCTCGGACCTCGGATTTGACGTCACGTCCACACTTCAAGCGTTCTATTTGTTTTACGCGTCCGAGTCGGAGAAAAAAATGGACGCCACCCGGAAAGCTGTTATAATGGTAGCGCTGGCCGAGTACCAGGCACTTACATTAAAACGAAAAAATATTATGACTACACCTTATTAAAACGCAGCCATTTGAACTTGAAAATGTTCACTTTATTAATGTTTTTCATGTTAATCTTCTGTTAGCAACGCTAGCAACGTCAGTAATTGCACTCACAACAACCGATTCCCATACCTACAGGGGACGCAGTAATACGAGTGATTATAACCGTCATTTAAAATACCAAAGCGGTTCAAAAACAATTCATTCTTACAAGTCACAGGGCGCAGCCATCTTGAATTCCGAAACGGAATTCTTTCTCGGTGTCCTCACGGTTGTCCGACGTCCGAGAGGAAAAATCCGAGGAAAGGGGGCGTGTTGCTAGGCAACGTCTGTCGTCCGAATCGGATCTCCGAGACGGATGAATAATAGAACGCACCATAATCAGAGTCCAAGAACAATCCAAAGTCAAAAACAGAAAACAAACACGGGAAACCGCTCAGAAATGCAGACACACACACTGAACAACAAGACTTTGCAATAAGTGAATGTGAAAACTATAGGTATTGATGGTGTGAACTAAACAAGATAATGAGAAACAGGCAAATGAGATTAGTGCTGATGAGTCCGTGCAGGGAGTTATGGGAAATGTAGTTCGTGACTGAAACATGATCATCTGGTGTGGAGTGCCCTCTGATGGCTCTCAAGGGCACTCCATTTCTGAAGGATCATGTGACACTAAAGACAGACGTTATGCTGAAAATTCAGCTTTGATCACAGGAATAACTGGCAGTTTACACTATATTCACATACAAAACAGCCATTTTAAATTTGTATAACAATATTTCATAATATCACTATTTTTACTGTATTTTTCATCACATAAATGCAGCCTTGTATACGAGACTTCTTTATTTATAGTAAATATTACTATTACACTGTAAAAAAATATTGATGGTTTACCTTAAAAAAGTAAGTGACCTGGTTGCCTTAAAATTTTAAGTTGATTGAACTGGAAAAAGTGAGTTAATACAATGAAGGAGATTAATTTAACCATCAGAAACTCAAAATAATAAGTTATCTCAACTAAATAAATTATTATAAAGTTGATTTGACAAAAGAAAATATGTTGTGGTAACAAATCTTGAAAATATTTTATTCGTGAAATGGTTTTGACAGTTTCGAAATCCCCCTAAACATATTTTCGCATATATTAAAAGTAACCCTATTTATTGCATATTCAAGGAATATAAAATACACTAGTTTCGGATGCCTAACTAATGCGCCAGTGCCAGGATTTCCAGCAGGAGCCATGAACTAATATTAGGCAGATACGGCACATTATAGTTTTATAAAAACTGCATGATGTTGTATTACACTTACAGTATTCTTCAATTAAGTTATAAATCCCTGCAACTAACCTCTGACCTCAAGAAAAAACTCTCTTTATATGAACTTCAGAGTAAAGAGAGTGTAAAAGTGCATGTTGACATCTGTGCGTTTGATACTGATCTGGTTATAGAGCCGCGAGCTGGAACCAGTATTGTGTGGGCGTAACCAGTGTGTAACTGATTACTACGTATATACACACACACACGTGGAGCTGTCTTCACATACAAGGGATTCTCCTGGAATGATACATTCTGCCATTGGACATTACAGACCCGAATGATGAGCATAATGAATGAGGAGCAGATGGAGAACGGAGCGGACTCCGATGACGACCTTCAACCCGAGGAGATCCCCGCGTACCTGAAAGACAGGAGAAGAGCCAAGTCCTTACCTGCGTATCCAGACCAGGCGAATCTGTACCATCAGATCTCCCAGAGCTGCAGGAAACGCGTGAAGTTCGCGGACACGCTCGGGTTAAATCTGGCGAGCGTCAAACACTTCAGCACGAGCGAGGACCCTCAGATTCCGGCCAAGGTGTTCAACAGGCTGAAGAGTTTCCCCCTTCACAAGGACCGAGAGTTCATGGATGACTTGTGCGTGAACATCAACTCCACTCTGACACTGGACTATCTGGTCCCGACGTTCAAGATGCCCGTGGAGTCCGGAGACTTGGAGACGCGGCTCGCGCGCTGTCGCGTCGCGCTGGAAAGCGTCACGGTCACACAGTTTGATGTCCGTGGGATCATACGGGCGATGGGAAGGAAAGAAGTTGGGGTCAGGTATACTTTCAACGACTGGCTGTCGTTCGTGGACGCGCAAGCCATCCCCGTGCCCACCGAGGACACGACGCACGGAGCGCGCTTCTCCTTCACCATGTTCACGCCTCCTTTCTTAGATCCGAGCGCTTCAGTGAACTTCGCCGTATACATGAGGGATGGTACATCTGACTTCTGGGACAACAACGATGGGCTGAACTATTCCCTGAAGTACCACAGCTCGTCATCCATTGAGACCGCAGCTTTCCACGCGATATGAAGTGATGCGCTTTTACGCACGGCACGCTGCGCCAAATCGGTGCGTTTGGACCTCACAACTGACTAAAACGATCGACTGATGTTACAAAACATACATGAATGTGCTCTCAAGGGGATATCAACGCTCAATGGTAAACTATTGAGTGGACTGACATTTCAACAGCGCTTTTCACAATCTTTTTTTGTAAGCAGCTTCAACAGGGAAATAGCAATCAATGATCACCAATCAAATATGAGACTATTCAAAGAGAGTTGCGTCAATATCCAGTTCATTAATGATGAGACGAGTTAAATTCAGCTAAGCTGAAGAGCGTCGTTATTCAGCTCGAGTTCAGTTCAATACCAGTGTTGATGTTGCAAGATTGTCAATTATCTTGATTGATAATTCAGCTCAATTCAGTTAAGTTTTGTCCTCATCCAATAGTGTGAAAACAATTTGATGACATTGCTTAGTAATAAAAGTATTGTCCTAGTATTAAAATGTTTTAAATTAATAGTTTACCAAAATAAAAATAATTAAATAAAAAGATTAAGAAGAAATTTCTGTCATCATTTAGTTGTTCCAAATCCGTTTGACTTTCTCTTTTTTTTAAAAAAGTGAAGTTTTGAGTTCAGTTCACGGCAACACTGAAAAGTGAGGCTTTTTGAATATGCAAATCAGATCTTGTAGTCAGAAACAGCCCATTCTCACCCCCAAGGCGTCACCTAACTGACGCCTTGGGAAGCATTTGACCATGCTTCAATATCTGACGCTTTAGGCGCCCTTTAGCGTCAGTTAGATGACGCCCTAGAATCGCGTCATGTAAGTGACGCTAAAGGGTGCCTAAAACGTCAAATATTGAAGCATGGTCAAAGGTGACGCCTTGGGGTGAGAATGCGTTGCGAGAAAATGACTTAAATTGTGGACTGTCTCTCACTCAAAAGTTATTGTTTGATTCCAATAGACTAGGTTTAACAATTAACATAGTCTGACTAAAATGCATATTTGAGCTGTTTTAACTGAAAGCAACTTGCACTGCCATTGTTTGTCTCAAGATGCACATCAGTGATGTTTCCCCTCCTAAAACACAAGGCCTAATCCTGGCTTAATCTAAACCCTGTCTGTGGAACCAGGAAGTTGTTCGGACTGCTTTATTGTGCCTTTTTGAAGCATGCAATGTCCCGTTTAGGAGACTGTTGCATGGAAAAGAGCAACTTGGACATTCTCCACAACTTCTCCTCCTGTGTTCTAGAAGAAAGAAGGCCAAATAGGTTTGGAATTACATCCGGATGAGTAAATGATGACACAGATTACATTTTCATGCCAAACAATGCATGGAATGTAACCTGCACTATTGGTTTTCTTCCACAAATGAGTCATCAGTGTCATTTATTGTTTCCATCATGGCTGCAGTTATTGACAGTGAAGACAATCCGAGGAAACCGCACAGCAATGCATTATGGGATATTATCAGTTACATTCGATTTGGGACAACCAACAGATGCTGCTGAAATTAGCTTCTCAAATTGAAATCAATTAATGATGCTTTCGCTGCATTGGACTTTAAAGTTAAAACGTTAATGTCGACATTCAACTGTCAAAATGTATTCATCATCAAAAGCACATTAGCATACACCTGAATAAAGGGTTAATAACACAAAGTGTATGAATCATTGTAGATTGAAAGACATTCTCCATTGAGAGTTTGAAGACATCAGAAGTGAGTGTTTACACTTCTCTCAGCAGGAGGACAGAGAGACTGGCTGTGTCGAAAGTAAAGTAAGTCAATAAGTCGTCTATGTTTCTGCATATGAGATATGCTATCTGTCATTGTAACTAAAGTCCAGCTTTGCCGCAGTTTTTCCTTACCTTTGTTGTTTGGTCTATGTTTGACTATGGGCGACATACTGTTTACGAAATGCAATGTTTGTTTGAACATATGCCAATATTCTTAATGTATGCACATGAGATTTCATTTACCGGCTGGATTATACTCAGTGAATGATGCCTGATAATGTGTGGATGTGAAATAGATGATTGACATTTAATGTTTCTGCTCTGTAAAGAAAAACCTCAAATAGTTGCATAAACTGCTTAGACTATTCTTTAAAAAAAAAAAAAAGTACCGTAATTAATTTGTTTCTTCAAAACTGGTCCTAACTTTTTAAAGGCCCGGTTTTACAGACAGGGTTTAGATTAAGCTGGATTAGACGCCCGCGCCCTCAGATCAGTTGGACGTGGCTGTGGTTACAAGAGGTAAAAACGATATAAATACTGTTAATTTTCTCACACAAACCGCTCGTTTCGTGTCTTAGGCCATCAATGTGTACTTACATTTGCGAGTGATTAACTCATGTTTAATTTGGACTTCTCTGTGCATGCTCTTTGAGGTGGTGACCATAGACCTCCATTATATGACTGACAGACAACAACGATTTGACCTATAAATATCAAAATTGAATATAGCTGCGAGCAGCGATGGCGGGCCCAAGCCGGTGGCACCGCAACCCCGGTTCCTTTAGTTACCTAAAGGCACCCGGGTAGCGGTGCCGAAGGCTTTGGCCCTTTTATGATTAAATGTTAAAACGGCTTGCCATACTCTGTCATTTCGACTAGTCACAATTATGTTACAGATGTCTTAAATGATAATACAAACTATCCAAAATGTAATTACGAATAGACAGAAAGACGTTGTTGATATCTACAATGTTAATTCCGGACAGGCAAACTTAGCTTTTAAATGTTAAAAGGGCTTGCCATACAGGGACGTAGGCTCAGAGAGAGGCTCACCATATTCAAACCAAAATATCTGACTTCCTCTTGGTCCGAGCTAATGACTATGTATTAGAAAGTTGTCCGGCTTGAGGAGTACAATGTATATACCGATTTTTGTAACTGTAGATAAAACTAACAACCCCACTTTTGTCAAAAGGTGGCGCTATTTAGTCCTTGCACATTGCCCGTTTCTGAAACTTTGCACGTCTACTGGCTAATAAATGTGATGTATCTGTTGAGTTTCAAGCAATTTCAATTTCAATTTGACTGTTGAAAAGAAGTGCGCCGATTAGATACTCAGGATCGGTATCGGCTCTGACACTGCCATCTTTGACGAGGCTGATTCAAATTCTATATTGTGCATATACTATTCTGTTAGGCACAAAGGCACAAAACTTTCTAAAGTACCATAAAGTTTTGTGTACTGTATTATTAGTGTTCTGAAGCTATTATGTGATATAGAAATTAATATTTAAGTCATTAAATTCAAGAACACAAACTTTTCCCTCTCTGCGCCTGTCAGTCATTCTCCATTCAGCATTCAAACAGCACGTCACATTCGGTTACAGTCAATGATGAAACGATCTTCAATGATTCAATGTTAATCCTATTATACTGGATCTTTAAGATAAAGGTCTAAAGGTCTATATTTTCGAATGAAGAAACTTTTTCTTGCTGGACTTTATTGCTGTAACTTAATCGTGTTACTTTCTACCGGGTGTCGGACGCTGTCGGTTAGATCACAACACTAGAGTCAGAGCACTATAATTGTTCTTCACGCACACAGTAACTGAAATTTAAAACCTTTAAAAGAAAAGGCTCAATAAACTATTGCATAGATAGATAATGTATAATACACTGTTCATAAATATGTATTTCCTTTGTGCTTTGAACTTTTCAATACGGACTCAATGCGCTGTAACTTCATGTGGCTTCAAGCACATCATTCTCCGCTCGGGATGCACATAAGTGCTTTGTGCTGCACCGTATTGGAGCCGTAATATCATAATGCAGTGACGTAATGACAGATTATTAATTGCCTTTCAATTATATGTTGCTTTATAGCAGCCATGGCTATATTTTTTTTTAATGATTTTTGTTATCTTGTTTTTCATGAATGTATTTTTCAAAAATAAGAGCAATGTGTATTATCTATTATTAATATGGTTTATAATAGCATTTTTGTCATAGATTATGACAAAGTAATCATATGATCCACCAGCGAGGAACCAGCAGAACAGAGTGAACATTCTTTCTGTTTAGTTCAATCCTACTTAATAGGAATTTATTTAAAATGCTCGCTCTACTCCACACCATTAATGTCTTGTGCGGACATCCGTATTTTTGACTTTCGGTTTTAAGTAAGCGATTTAAAAGCTCCCAAGTCCAGCGGAGTCACACGTTGATTAACCGGTGGGAATATACACAATAGGCCTACCTGATATTGAACACAAGAGGGCAGTATAGCACTACGTATGACTCAGATTATTATTTTTTTATGAATTTTACAACAATTCTGGCTGTTTTTGAACGTAAACACAATTCTTAAATGAAAAAAAAGGAAAAATTGGGGAAGTTATAATATTTGTATAATTTAATTTAGAAACAAATGATGTATAATTACATTTTTAGAAGATATGAGGCTTTTAGTGTTTACTTTTTTGACATTACTTTAATCTTTTGCCATAGTTGCACATGTCTATTGGCTAATAAATGTGATGTATCTGTTGAGTTTCAAGCAATTTCAAGCAAGCTAAGAGTCCCAAAAGCATCAAAAAAATAATGTTAAAGTTTGTTTCGTTGCCACGGCATTTTGAAAGTGACACACTTCCTGCTGCCAGTTGGTGGCGCTATAACTTTGACTCACAATAGTCACATCCATGTGATCGGTCTCTTACAGCGAAAACACTGCTGAAGTTTCGTCAAGATCAGTTAATGTATGCTGAAGTTATAACACACATCCTGTTCATGTTTCTCGCCATAATTTCGTTTCCTCGCCACGGCCAAACCGTTCGAGATATCAAAAATCCCGTGGCACTTTTTCATCCTTAATGTCTTGACTTCACGCTGATCGAGTTTCGTCGAATTTGGTTCAGTGCTCTAGGAGCAATAATTTAAATTACATTGCATGTGTTTTAAACACAACCCTAAATAGCCAACTTCCTGTTGGGCTGGGGTAAAAAGTAAGAGTGTGAAGTATATATGAAACGATGAGATCTATATGTGTACCAAGTTTCATATTATTACATGCAAGTGTGTTTGATTTATGGACCAAATTTTCAGACCAAGTTTATTGACCAAGTTAATCTGATTAATAAACTAATTATATAAAACTATTGTCAATTCACTACAATTAAACTAGTTATATGCCTTTACTTATAAAAAATAAAAATAAAAACTTATTTAAAAAATACCAGGCTTGAGAAATGTATTTTCTTTATGCAGGTCATACACACAGCAGTGAAATGGTTAAGCCCCCTCCCCCTGCACACACACACACACACAGACAGCCAGCCAGCCAGCCAAAGGCTCAGAGTGGCCATATTTCAAACAAAAATATCTGAGTTTCTGTGGGTCCTAGCTAATAAGTGTCAATTAGAAAGTTGTCCGGCTCGAGGAGTACAATATACATACCAATTTTTGTAACTCTAGTTAAAACTAACCACCCCACTTTTGTCAAAAGGTGGCGCTACTGAGCCCTCACCACGCCCGTTTCTGCAACTTTGCACATGTCTACTGGCTAATAAATGTGATGTGTCTGTCGAGTTTCATGCAATTTGAAGCATGCTAAGGGTTCAAAAGCATCCTAAAAGCATCCTAAAAGAAGGGCAAAGTTTGATGCGTCGCCACGGCAACAGTTTTCAAAGATATCAAGAATCCATTCACAGGTCTACATCTGCCGTATGTTTACATTATACAGATGAAGTTTGAAGCAAATCGGGTAAAATAAAAGGGTGATTTCAAGCATTTTGAAAGTGACACACTTCCTGCTGCCAGTTGGTGGCGCTATAACTTTTACTCACAATAGTCACATCCATGTGATCGTCCTCTTACAGCGAGCACACTGCTGAAGTTTCATCAAGATCAGTTAATGTATGCTGAAGTTATAACACACTTCCTGTTTCACGTTTCTCGCCATGATTTCGTTTCCTCGCCACGGACAAACCGTTCGAGATATCAAAAATCCCCTCGCAAACTTTCATCCTCAATGTCTTGACTTCACGCTGACCGAGTTTCGTCGAATGTGGATCAAAGCTCTAGGAGGAGTATTTCAAATACCATTGCGAGCGTTTTACAAACAAACCTCAATAGCCGACTTCCTGTTGGGCTGGGGTAAAAAGTAAGAGCGCGAGGTATAGATGAAACGATGAGATCAACATGTGTACCGAGTTTCATATTATTACATGCAAGCGTGTTTGAGTTATGGACCGAGTGTTCGGACCCCGTTCCAGGGGGCGCTGACGAGCCCCCCTGCCACGCCCAGGTACCAGCTTCAGCCCGGCTCTGATGGCCGCGGGTTCTGACCCGTGTGCAAAGTTTCAAGAGTTTTCGAGCACGTTAAGGGCCCCAAAAGTGCCCAAAAGGTAGTAAAATAATAATTATTATAATAATAATAGAGAAGAAAAATAATCGCAAGGAAAACAATAGGGCCTTCGCCCTTTCAGGGCTTGGGCCCTAAAAATACTGTGGAAACAAAGACACCTACATCTTGGATGCCCTTGAGGTAAGATAAAACACATCAAAAATTAATTTCAAAGTGGACTATCCCTTTAAGATATATCAGTGCAAGTTGCTTTCAGTTATTTTAGTCAGAGTCTATCTGTGAAATCAGGGGGAAATGTTTAATTGGTCTAATTTGAATCTAAATTACCTCTTGTTTAAATGCTAGATGGTCACACTCGTTCTCAAGACACTTGCCTTAACACACTGGCTAAATTTATGCAATTATGTAAGAATTGGTTGTTAGAAAATATTCATATTTACCAAGAGTTGGGCAAATGCATTACATCTCAGGTGAAATAGCCTATCTCAGCTGCTAAAAGGCAACTCTGATTTTTGTTCTTGTTGATATTCTGCTTTATTGTCACAATACAGTAACATAGCTCCAAATAAAATATTCACTAAAGTCTCATTTTAATTCTCATTAACACTGCAATGATGAATGCAAGTATCTGCCTCATGAATAAATGTAAATGCGCATGCATAATTTCATTCAGATCTCTACATCTCTGTTTGCATGATGCGCTTCTAACTGGGCCACATGTTTAAACGAGTTTTAAAACTGTTTGCTTTTGCTATCCACAATCTGTTGGTAGGCATTGAGTAATGTGATCTTTATACCGTCCCCATGTTTTACTAGGCCATCGCTGACTGAAAACTAATAGAATTAGCTATTTTTAACCACTCGACCTTTACCGTTTGTGAAAAGATCAATGAAAACTGTCTTTTTTTCCCAATAACCCACTCAAAGTAATGTAACTTGCATGAATTTATCGTAACAAAGCAAGGAAAATACAATATGTACAATTTCCACGACATCACATATACAGTACGGTGTTCATCTGAAATGAATGTGTAAACAGGAAGAGTGTGTGTGAGATCCATTCTGATGAAGGTCTCCAATGCAGATCACCATCATGACCAGCAGATGTTTGAAGAATAGACATCAGTTCTGTCGTCTGAGGACCATCACTCCCACATCACATCAATCGCTCTTCTTTTCCTCCGGTTCCATCACCGTCTTCTGGATCTCAAACATCTGCCCTATAGACACCTGTGGACAGTGACAGAGATCACGGTAATTATCAACTGAGATTAAAGTGTGTAATTTTAAAATTCGTCATTCTGATTGGTTGAAATATTCCAAGGGAGTTTGAGTTTTTTACTTTTTTTTATAATTTTACAGTTATGAGGTAGTTCCAAATTTGTGTGATTATAAATGACTGGTAAAAAAAAAAAAAGTCTCACACACACTTCAAGGAGTATTCACTTTTTCAACAAATTTTGCTGATAATTTACTCACCCCCATGTCATCCAAGATGTCCATGTCTTTCTTTCTTCAGTCGAAAAGAAATTAAGGTTTTTGATGAAAACATTCCAGGATTTCCTCCATATAATGGACTTCAATGGGAACCAAACGGTTCAAGGTCCACAAGACAGATTCAGTGCAAACTGTTCAAAGGGCTTTAAACGACACCAGACGATGAAAAACAAGCGAAACGATCGCTCATTTAATAAATAAATAACAAAGTTTAAGTTTTATAAGCTCAAATGCTCGCCTTGCTCTGTTCTGTTCTGCACGTTCGTGACTCTCCTGTTCGAACTCGTTCATCAAAATGAACGAATCTTTTTTTCATGTCATTTGGTTCATTCAATGAACGAAATGAATGAGTTGACAGTTTGCACTGAAACTGTCTTTTGGACCTTGAACAGTTTGGTTCCCATTGAAGTCCATTATATGGACAAAATCCTGGATTGTTTTCATCAAAAACCTTAATTTCTTTTCGACTGAAGAAACAAAAAGAGATGGACATCTTGGATGACATGGGGGTGAGTAAATTCCTCCTTTAATATACCTCATAATTTTATCATCAAAATAATTCTCCCTCTTGCAGCTTCTCTTCTCTGATGAAGAGGGCGGGGCTATAACCTGTCACTCACATCATGAGATCAGCCAATAGCAAACCACAACCATCCAATCAATTCCTCACAGACACCATCAAGCCCCGCCCTACATCTGTTCTAGTTCCAGAAGACCGTTTCACTCAGAAATACAGTGGTTCCTCAAAGGCATTCAGTTTAAAAGAAAAATACTGAGAGGCTAATTAAAATATATGAAAACAAGAGATTAATCACAGTTACATGTTTAACCTTTTGACACTCCTCCAAAAACAGCTTCTGTTCTTACTGTATATGCAACGCATTCTCACCCCAAGGCGTCACCTTTGACCATGCTTCAATATTTGACGTTTTAGGCGCCCTTTAGCGCCACTTACATGACGCGATCCTACGGCGTCATCTAACTGACGCTAAAGGAAAGCGTCAGTTAGAGGACGCGGTTAGGTTTAGGTGTGGGTAGGGTACACGCGATCCTAGGGCGTCATCTTACTGACGCTAAAGGGCGCCTAAAGCGTCAGATATTGAAGCATGTCCAAATGCTTCCCAAGGCGTCAGTTAAGTGACGCCTTGGGGGTGAGAATGGGCTGGTATATGAGTGGCACTGAACGGCAACAGTGTCAGGAAAGTGCACTAAAGTCCAAAGGATAGTTTGTAATCTTTATTTGTCTGTGTTTTCAGCGGTCCTGAACGAGGCTAAATCAATACTGAACAGAGAAGTGGCCTTCATGATGAGCGAGGACAAACTGTGTGTATGAAAACCGAGTGTTCGAAACGTCCATCGTCAAAACCACAGGAAACAATGAACCAATCAAACTGTATCAGTGAGAAATGAGATGCGAGTAAAACAAGCAGTATACACACACACTGTTTGAGACAGAGCCGCAGTTCAAAACATGTCCAAGATGCTAATTCTGATAAGTGTGTGCGTGTGTGTTAAAATTAGAGCCAGACCGATATATTGGCCGGCCGATATTAGGCATTTTCCAAAATATCGGTATCGGCAGTTATAATGGACGATAAATTAATATTTAAAAAATATACTAAAAACAGATTAAACACGCTTCAATCATCTCTCCTTGGCCTGTTATATTGAAAATGTATGTTTTACAACTTGCAGTATGATGTTATCTATTGCTAACCATAGACTAGCTAACCACAAAGCTAGCTAATGCCATTATAGTGGAAGACCGCTAACGTTAACATTAATGAGCTTGGAAACAACAATGAACTTTTTCTGCCTAAATAATGTAATTATTACTGTATTTATAACTAGCATATCTCTAGTTACAGTCCCTGCATTGTAAAATGTAAGTTATCCTTGCGAGGAGTGAACATTTAGACATAGAGAAAAAGTATCAAATGTACCTTGTGCAGAAAAGTTAGCGTTTCTTTTACACATGTGTGAAATCCAACAATATTTAATAATAAAAAAATCGGCCGATATATCGGAATATCGGATTTTAAAACCCAAAAATATTTGTATCGGTATCGGCCTTCAAAATCCTTTATCGGTCGGGCTCTAGCAAAAACATAAGTTATGAGTAATTATAAATAATAATAATAGTGAGAAGAAAAATACAGACTGCCAGCTTAATAGTAAATATTTTACAGATATTAAAATTTAATAGTACTGTAAATAGTCAAAAACAACAACAAAAAAATGACTAATCATTATCATCATCATCAGTGGCTAGAAAAAAAGATACACTGACAAATTAGTATAAAGTTTTAAAATTAATTCACTTTGGTCTTACTGACAATATTAATGCCAAGGATTTAATTTTGAAAACAACACGTTGTCTTCACAATATGATCTTTAATATTTCCCTTTATAAATGGGTATTTATACATGAAAATACAGCCTTTATACTTTAGGGTCCATCACAAGTACATCACATTTTGGTGTCCATTTTAGGGCATCATAAGCCAGAAACCCCTTCACTAGCCTTTAAATACCGATCAGTCAGAAGTAAAACGGCTTTATCTTATAAAAAATATCTATGTTCAGTCCTGTCTATAATGAAACCAAGATATGATTCAGCATAATCTTTCCCTAATTATCCTTGTGTTAAATATGTGAACATCTGACCGATGCTTCACATAAACCAATGCATTCTCATCCTAGGGCGTCATATAGTGACACTTTTGACGATGCGTGTAAATCCAACGCACATTTAGCGTCAATATAACACGCTTCGGTTATGGGTAGCTTTAGGTCTGGGGTAGGGTTAGGGTTAGACCACTAGGAGGCGCTTTCTAGCCCATATATATCTGCGTCTCATATTGGCGCTAAAGGGTGCCATGTGTGTTGGATGTCTACGCATTGGCAAAAGCGTTGTATATGATGCCTTGGGATGAGACCGGGCTGGATGAACACGTCTCAAAAAGAGCCAAGGAATACCGGGAATATGAGGAGGATTTGCCTGGAGAAAGTCAAAGCAGAAGGGAAAGATGCAAGGTTGGTGAAGGGGAAACACGTGGCCGTTTTCCACAGTGATGGCTCAGCAAAGAGGAACATTAAGATCCATTTCTGAGCTCTGTAAATATTCCCAGCGTCCCCGTGACACGGGCCATCTGTCAGCTCCAGCCTCTCTCCCCGCGTCTCCTGTCCGTAACCTCTCTTTAAAACAGAGGAGAGCCGGATCCCAGGGGAACGAGGCCAGATGACTGATGGGATGACGAGGGAACAAGGTGCATTATGGTCCAGGTGCCAAACGGAGGAGTCAAGTGGCCAGCTGGTTTCAATTATGGCAGGTATTTAGTCGAAATAAGGTGTAAACAGCATAACACTTTATATAACACTTCATTTGTGCGCTGATGCTCAAACAGTAATGAATTAAACTAATTAAAAATTGCTCTTGTTTAGAAATGTGGGTTTTATTTCTACCTTTTCTAATTTGTTTTTGATTATTTGGCTGGTGTTAGTGTTATTAACTACAGGCTGTAGTCGTGAATTGGTCCATTCAGATGATTCATGCACAATAAATTAATTTCAGTCTCTGTAAAATGTTAGATTTTTATTTTTTTATTTAGGTGTTTTCTAGCTGTACTGTAAATGTAAGCTCAAGATTAAAAGTGAATATAAAAGTGTTATATATCATTTATTGTTTGGAATTGAATATTTGCTAATATTGTTATTATTACATGTGAAATAAGTACTGGTCTGGTATTAAAAGTAAATGAATGATCTGCATTGTATACACTCACCTAAAGGATTATTAGGAATACCATACTAATACTGTGTTTGACCCCCTTGTACATCCAGGACACGAAGCTCCCGTTCCACCACATCCCAAAGATGCTCTATTGGGTTGAGATCTGGCGACTGTGGGGGCCATTTTAGTACAGTCAACTCATTGACATGTTCAAGAAACCAATTTGAAATGATTCCAGCTTTGTGACATGGTGCATTATCCTGCTGGAAGTAGCCATCAGAGGATGGGGACATGGTGGCCATAAAGGGATGGACATGGTCAGAAACAATGCTCAGGTAGGCCGTGGCATTTAAACGATGCCCAATTGGCACTAAAGTGTGCCAAGAACACATCCCCCACACCATTACACCACCACCACCAGCCTGCACAGTGGGAACAAGGCATGATGGATCCATGTTCTCATTCTGTTTACGCCAAATTCTGACTCTACCATCTGAATGTCTCAACAGAAATCGAGACTCATCAGACCAGGCAACATTTTTCCAGTCTTCAACTGTCCAATTTTGGTGAGCTTTTGCAAATTGTCGCCTCTTTTTCCTATTTGTAGTGGAGATGAGTGGTACCCGGTGGGGTCTTCTGCTGTTGTAGCCCATCCTCCTCAAGGTTGTGTGTGTTGCGTCTTCTTCACAAATGCTTTGCTGCATACCTCGGTTGTAACGAGTGGTTATTTCAGTCAAAGTTGCTCTTCTATCAGCTTGAATCAGTCGGCCCATTCACCTCTGACCTCTCACATCAACAAGGCATTTTGGCCCACAGGACTGCCGCATACTGGATGTTCATTCTTTGTAAACCCTAGAAATGGTTTGTGTGTGAAAATCCCAGTAACTGAGCAGATTGTGAAATACTCAGACACCAACAACCATGCCACGCTCAAAATTGCTTAAATCCCCTTTCTTTCCCATTCTGACATTCAGTTTGGAGTTCAGGAGATTGTCTTGAC